AAACACTGGAAAAAAAATCATCATTTTAGCATGTACTCTTTCACAGGGGGAGGGGGTCAGCAAAAAGAGTATGTTTTGTACTCTCGTGAAAATGATGAAAATAATGGATGACCCCTAAGAACACTGTATATGAAATTGTTAATAAGATTGAATGACAGCAAAGTGCTTACATCAATGTCGTAGCCATAGTCCTTGTCCTTAGATGCAGCTTCATAATCAGCTCTCAATGCAAGGTCATGAACTTTTGAACAATCTCCAAGATCCATTCTCTGTAAACATAAACAAACAACTTCAGGGTTGAATATTGAAGAAAGGGATTAGCAAAAATGAATAGGAACAAGTAAAATGTGATGGCAGCAACAATACCTACCTTTTCCTGTTTCCTTTCCCAAAATATTTTCTTTTCAATGTTATCACAGAAAACTGTAGGTTATTTCAAACCAAAGCACAATGCTTTAGATTTGCAGACAAAGCACAAACTCAGTTCAAGACACAAGGCCATGTACAATTAAAATGGAATAGAAGATGGTGAGAAATTTAAGGCAAAATATGACTCCCTTTGCACAAAAAGTAAAGAAAAAATGCACAAAATATAAAGACTAGAAATGCTCCTTTTACACTGCGCAGTAAAAGCATAGCCTCCAGACATTGTGATTTTTCTTTGAGAATTGATAAGTAGGAGTTTAAAAACAATTAGACTTCAATTAACGTGTTAACTAACTTAAATTTCTTAAGTAATGAGATATTAATAATGCAAATGAGCAATCTGCATAGTACACAAATGTACTAAAAATCATAGGCTCTATTGCTTTATCACCATATGCATTCTGCCAAGTTTGAAATCAATAAGACTTAACCAAACTATAGTTATCGTGGTAACTAGCTTTAATTACCTGATAGTATAATACATACTCCAAGTATCGAAATGCACACCATCGTGTCAGGATTCAATATTTCAACATTAATTATGTTATCATCAGGAAACTTGAGTTATCGTGGTAACAAACAATTTACCCAACGACAACATGACAAAAACGGGCAAAAACAATAGCCTCGCCAGAGCTTCGCTTTTTCAGGGAGGCTAATAAAAATGTATAGAAAACACTTACTGTACTTGACAAAATATCATGTGGGCAACAGTTGAGTAGAAAGGAACGACAAACTTTTGGGTCTTCAAATCTAACTCTGTCTTTACCAACCTCACCTGAAATGAAAAGCAAACCCAACAATTATTACAATTTCTTTAAATCTCAAATGCAGGAATGCATCTAATGAAATGTACGGATGCATCTAATGAAATATACAATATTCCTAACGACATGTTTCATTGCTCCAATACACACATTTATAATATCAATTATAATTATCAGTATTACGACATATAATAGTCATTCAAAGAATCAAATTGACTAAAAAAATAAAATACAAAATGTGTTCCATACATTGCGGCCGAACCTGCAGCCAAGACCTATTTAGGGCCCAGGTAGGCATGCTATGAAGCATGATGTCACTAACTATAGCTTGACACAAGTAACAGTGACTGACGTCACGCTTCGTAGCATATACAGTAGTACTGTACCTACCTAGGAATCAGATACTGTAGGCCTTGGCTCCAATAGCCTACTTGTACAGAAACTCACTAGGAAAATAGGTATGCAGAATCGTAATCTAATACAAAATTGTCAATATAATAGGATTAGTTCAAAGCATAATTTTCGACAAACTTGGCCTTATTATTCCAAATGCGCAGACGGATTTCCAGGCCAAATTTTTGAGCAGGACGAGATATTCCCTGTGCAGACCTTACTAGACAGTTACTTTTTATTATGATGGAAAATAAACATGTGTTTTCTAGTCTCTTCATATTGGTTTTGTAATTTAACTATACACTCTGGCCTATGCTGGCCTATTTTTATAGTTAAATTACAAAACCAATATGAAGAGACTAGAAAACACATGTTTATTTTCCATCATAATAAAAAGTAACTGTCTTAACTATGCTGTATTGTTATATACCCACTGTCATTGTCCTTCGGCGCTCCATATATTTGTTCCAAATAAACCGCAACCGAAATGAAGCGCCACCGAAATGATCGGCTACCGCCTAGGCTAGGGCTAGGCCTAATTATTAAATCTGACAATGCATTTCCGTGATAGAGTTTTTTTATTGTGGAGATTTCTATCTTGTTGTTTAATAGGTCTTTAAGAGAAGGGATTGTTCCCGATTCGTGGAGACAGGCTAATGTTGTGCCTTTGTTTAAAAAAGGAAATAAAAATAATCCTTTAAATTATAGACCTGTGAGTCTTACTTCTGTAATTTGTAAGTCTATGGAAAAGTTGGTTAAAGTATTTGGAATCTAATAATTTAATTAGGGAAGAGCAACATGGTTTTCGCTCTGGTAGATCTTGCACTACTCAATTACTGGAAGTAGTTGATCAATGGACTCAATGGCTTGATAGTGGTTTGTCGTTTGATTGTATTTACTTCGATTTTCAAAAGGCATTTGACAAAGTTCCTCATCGTAGGTTATTGTCAAAATTAAAGTCTTATGGAGTATCTGGCAACTTGTTGAATTGGATTGTGGCATTTTTGAAAGATAGGAAACATTGAGTGGTCGTTAATGGTGTTAGTTCTGGATGGCAATTGGTGTCTAGTGGGTTTCCTCAAGGAAGTGTCCTTGGACCTATATTATTTTTAGTTTTCATTAATGATTTACCCAAAACTGTTTCTGATTCATTTATAAAGTTGTTTGCGGACGATAATAAGCTGTTTAGAGTTGTCAATTGTGAGACTGATCGTGAGATTTTACAGGGGGATGTAAATGCTTTATACCAGTGGTCGATAGACTGGCAATTGCCATTTAACTTAACAAAATGCAAGGTTATGCATTATGGAGTTAAAAATTTTAATTTTAAATATTTTATTGGTACTGGTACATCAAGATGTGAAATTGTACGTGTTAAGGAGGAATCAGATCTTGGTATTTTGCGTCTCTATAAGTCAATGATTCGTCCTGTGATAGAGTATGGTAGTTGTGTCTGGAATTCTAAATATAAAAAAGATTCTGATTTATTAGAGAAGGTCCAACAACGCTCCACCAGATTGATTAGAAATCTGAGTGGCAAAGCTTATGTGGAGAGACTTAAGGCTCTTAATTTGCCAACTTTGTTATTTAGAAAAAAACGAGCAGATGTCATTCAGACCTTTAAGATTTTTCAAGGTATTGATCTTTTGGAACCTGAGCGCTTGTTTACAAGATCAGATTATTCTATAACCAGAGGCCATGTATATAAGAAGGCCGTATATAAGTTGTATAAACAGAAATTTAAACTTAATGTTAGGAAAAAGGCATTCGTTGTTCGAGTTACTGACGATTGGAACTCCCTTCCTAGCAATGTGGTAAATCAGAGTTCAGTAAATTATTTTAAAGCGGGCTTAGAGAAAGTCTGGTCTGGCCACCACCTTAAATTTTGCCCGTATATGACCGAAGAGGATTCGATAATGATTGAGGGACAAATGAGCTTTGATCTCGAAGATTCAAGGTAAATTCAAGGTAAGGTAAATTCTAGTACCTTTTGGAAACGGCCAGGCAAAAGCGAAAGCTAAGCCTAGTCTAGCTAGGCCCAGGGAGAAGGCCTACACTTCGCCTAGACTAGAGAGGATTCGGCCTCACCTAGGCTACATACATGGGCTGGGGCCTAGCTAGCCTATGCTATATAGAATAGGCCTAGCCATGCTAGGGCCCTATGCCTAGGCCCCTACGGTACACAACTTACCATTTCTTGAGGTTCCCATTAGCTCATCGAGCATTTTCCGCATTTGCTCTTGAGCTGACATATTTGTGGTATATAGGCCTATGCTTAGTAAAACCTCTTAAAAACGATACAAAATGATAGACCAGAGTGTTAGTCTCAACAAGCCTAAAAAATCAAGATGGCGACACCGTTGAAGCGATGACGATTTTAATCGACGAGTCGAATGTCGATCGAGAGAAAAAGAGTAGAAGAGTATGGAACGCCGTTACTGCCTTTGGTGACTCTTTTCCGTTCGGCGCATTTGCTATTCGGCCCTTTTAACATTACGTTCGGCCCTTTAACTTACGTTCGGTGCTTTTACATTACGTTCGGTGCTTTTTACATTACGTTCGGTGCTTTTTACATTACGTTCGGTGCTTTTTACATTACGTTCGGTGCTTTTTACATTACGTTCGGTGCTTTTATTAACATTACATTCGGTGTATTGAAACATTACGTTCGGTGCTTTTATAATTACTTGCGTGCTCCTTCTCTCTTTCTTCGTGCCGTCGATCGTTGACAAGCGAGGAAAGAGAATGGCCAAGTCAACTGTTCCGATTTAATTTTAAATTGTTTTGCATTATATGGCCGTTTGCTGTTGGGTTTTCCCATTTGCCTTTTTAATATTATATTATCCAGAATCTTAAATTTTAGTGTTTCTAAAGTCAACTTCTTAGTTTCATTACTGTTACGCTATATTATAT